ATAAGGTGTGTATTAGATGGCATAAGCAAGCTGAATGACTGGTACGTACGTATGTACGTATGTACGTATTTATTTATTTATTTATTTATTTATTTATTTATTTATTTGAAGGCTTAACATGGATGCTTGTCTTATACATGATAATCTAGGTGGCTCACAACAACATTCCATTAAAACAGAATAAATATAACCAATAGAATCCCACAACTCCATCATATCAGAGAAAGGACCTCTTAGTCACTGATGAAATGCTTTCTTTAAGAAACTCACTTTGCACCCCTTTTGTTTTAATCTTAGATAGTTATCATTTTTATCATTAAACAAGGACATCTGCCTTAATATAGTTTTTCCTTGTTTTCTAAACAGATTTATATTGTGAACTACAGTACTGTGAAAATTTTTATTAAAGATGGAATATCCATATTCATGAGAGCCAGTTTGGTCTAGTGGTTAAAGCGATAACTGGGAGAGGAAGAACCAGAGTTCTAGTTCTGCCTTAGGCACAGAAACCAGCTGGATGACTTTTGGCTAGTCACTCTCAGCCCTCGAAAGAAAGTCATGGCAAACCACTTCTGAAAATGTTGTCTAATAACTGCATAGACTTGTCTAGGAGTCAAGTGTGACTGGATGGCAAAAATCATAATAATCATCCATATCCATATTGAATCAGCAGGGATTAAATAGAATCCTTTGGCACTAACTCCAAATATCAAAATAAAAGATACCACTTAAAGTAGGTTGGTGTGAAAGAACACAACCAAAGCTAATCCTCAGTTCCAGTTGTTGGATCGTTCTTTCTCTGAGTAAAAACTTTCTAGCCAATATTAATATGTTTCTCATTCTGTACTGAATCATATTTGTATATATTTGGTAAAGTTTATGAGAAACAGCAAGTTTTTCTTTTATTTATTGAGTAATATTGTTCTTCAATTTACTTACAAATATTTTATTTGCCTATGTTGGCTATTTTACTTATTTGTAATATTTATGTACTGTACTAGGTATGCAAAATATCACAAAGTGGTATACAAAATTTACTATGTTAAGAATATTATAAAACATAAAATGTATAAAATAAGAAGATACTCTTTGGTTTTGGTTCATAAGTGGAGCCCTTGAAGATGCTATCATATTTACTATAATACTTTTATCATTTAAAATAACTTATTATGCTAATACAATCATAACAGTCTTTGTAGACATTGAATTTATACTATGAAGCACAGATTTTCAGATCTGAGGCATCATTTTGTGGTAATATTTGTTAAGTTTATTAATTAAGTTGTTAACTATATCATATCTTAATTGCTTTACATTTGACTTACATCTGCGTTCTATAATGTTTCTTGAGGATGCCAACTCAATACCTACTGGCCTTACTTCATGGCACACTGATTATGTAAACAGAATCATAACAAGATTGAATATTTACAAATTATTGCTCTAAATAAAAGCCTGTTCCAGAACTAATACACTGGAAAACCAGGCAGTGGAAAGAAATTATTAGTAGCTCTTCATTTGTTAAAAATTATTTGTTAGAACTGATTGCTTTCTATAGATCAAAAACCATGCTGTGTTTTTTCTGTCTTGTCCAACAACTATAATATTGATTTTTAAGGTGTATTTTTTTCCTACCTATCAAAAATCATGCTGAGTCTTTTCTGCTTCATGCAGTATCTAAAACTGTAGTGTCTAGAATAGAAATGTATCTGCCAGTTTGTTAAAAGAGCCCCTGGCAAAAGACAGAATGGCTGGTATTAGGGAGTGTTCAGTACTTCCAAATGCCTCTGTTTGGAAGGCTATATGAACGTACCAACCACTAGCTGGAATAGTCCGTTTAAAAAACCCTAACTTTTGCTGATAAAAGGCAGACTTGCATGGGAAAATGCATACTGGTAGGTCAGGGGAATTATTAAAGTTTGGATTGGTTGTCTCTAGCCAGTAATAATTTTGTAGTGCAAAATAGATGTAGAAGCTATATGTTTAATAATTTGAAATAAATCGCCCAAAATGCATTAATTGTCATATAGTAGCATATTGGTCTGCCTATGTATTTCTTTCAAATTAAAGTCTTTGTTTACATCAGTGATATGAATCTTATATTTTAGAAAGTAGTTAATTTTAACTTTATCTGTGCTACGTATGCCTTGTCATACAATGTTTCATTCGAACCAGTATTCACTAGCCTGAGTTGTTTCTTAGCATAACTTTATTAGTTCCAACTAAATTGACCTGAAAGTAAGTTTCACAATTTTAGCAGCTAGTAGTCCCAGCTGGCTTTATTTCAGGGAAGTGCAAGCTACTGTAGTTTTGTTCCTGTAATCACAACCATGGCAACATAAGAAATGCAGAGTTGCATGGGAAGAGCAAGTGACTCAAGTACCAGAAGCAATTTACAGGAAAGTAAGTAAATACTGGTGATGAATGAAGCCACACTGAAAATCCATCTAGAGTACCTGAAATCTCAATCACATGTATTTTCAATAATGTGGTCGCTGCCACTCCCATTATTGCACCATGCTGCCCTACCAAGTTTTTAATAATATTTTATTAGTCTTTATGCCTAAGTAGCATTGTGTTACAGTTGCAGTGGAGTAATTAATCCAGTCTGGATTAAATTAAAACAGCATTAGTAACTCCATCACTGAGTCCTAACTGAATGTGAGCAACAGATACATAGAATACATAAAGATGAAAAGATGTCTGTTGGATGTCCAAAATGTAACTTAGTACATTGAGGTTGATTAAGAAACAATATGGTATCTATGACCTTTCATATGGCCATTGTAGTAAGCTGGTATACATAAGCTTCTTAGTCACCTCATGATTCAGGTGTTGGTCTAGAACTGGAAGACACATGTTCAAATTGATTTTCAACAATAGAAGTGTATGGGGTGACTTTCAGCTAATCACTTCTCAACCCAACCTCAATTCAGAATTTTGTTGTGGGGAAAAAGTTGGTGAAGGAAATGCTGTGCACACTCCCTTGAATTTGTGGAGGCAGAATATACATCAAACCAAATTTGTGTGTGTGTGTGTGTGTAGAGTTATGTTGTAAGGCAAGTAAGCAACACTTATCCTTTGGTGAACCCATTTATACATAAGAGTTTTGTTTTTCCTGCAGTTGAGAATATGTTTCATCAGTAAAATGAGCTATGTATTTGAATAGTAACACTCCTTTCACTTTCAGAACAGAGAAGGGGAAAGAGCATTCATATTTGGGTAAACATGATTTGGAATACTATAGCATGCCTTTCAGAGTAATTTTTCATTGTTAGAATAAAATATTTGAAAGATGCAGTACTTTTGCTTGGCTCCAAAAATACATGGTTTCTTCACACCCTTAAATTTTACCATTTCTGCCACCCTTATCTGTCTCACTTTTAGTTTGGTATCTTGGCATTAGGAACATCATTTCTTTGCAAAGATGTGAAAATTTCTGGAATCAGGATGATGTGGCATGGGTTTCTACCCAAGCACATACCACAAGCCTGCCAAATATCTTCTTGGGATCTCCCCCCACCCCCATGCATCCCCTCTGTATTACTTCTGGTTGTAGCTGTTCAATCCAGATCAGAGAGTTTCACCCAGGATCAGTAGTTGACACCACCTGTTCTTGAATTGAGAGATGTCCCCTTCCCTGGGTGGGTGAATCTGGGTAGGGCAGAACAGGAGATCCTTCTTCCCTAGCAATGAACTTTTAAATTGATCTAGTTTTAGTTTGTTTTTTAATCCAGATTACCAAATTCAAACAGTTCTGGTTGTGTTTGGTGCTAGTACAACCAACAAATAATGAAGGATTTTTTATTTTAACAAATGTAATAAAGGATCGTAAGATAACTGCCCCAAGTTGTGGAAGCTTAGATATATATTCAGAAGTAGCAATCTTTAACCAGTAAGCAAATCAGGCAATTAAACAAAGAGACAGACAGATAAAGGGAGCAAAAATAAAGCTACCCAACTGAGCAAAGAAATACTGTTAAAAAAAAATTAAAGCACAGCTGATGCCTCTGGCTTTCTGTCTCTTGCAGCTTTATTGTATTGATTCCAGTTCTCCCAAAGCTTTAAGGTGGGAGATCCAAATCCCAGGCCAAGCCAATAAACTTGTTTCTATGATCTTTTGCTGCTCCAAGGATCTTGCATCTTAGACTGGACAGAAATGTGGGGAGCATGGATCTTACCCCCTACAGTACATTGGCTTTTGGAGTTATAAGCTACTTAAAGAGTTGCAGTCCTTCCAGGCATTATCAATCACAGTATAGATCATGGGTGGGCCTATACATCCATCATCATCATCATCATCATCATCATCATCATCATCATCATCATCCATGTGCTTATGATTCTTATAAGTCTTATAAATTGATCATTATGTGTTTTTACATTTTCATTATATCATGTCATTGCTACTCATTATGATTACTGCAATTGCTATCATTCCGTACAAATAATAAACCAAACCTTTCTTTTTTCCTTATGGATTTTCATTAATTTCTCATGAAGTTGTCTCTTAATTCCTACTGTTTGTTTTATTTTATTTTATTTATTTATTTTATTTATTTATTTATTTTGCTTAACATACTTAGCAGCCAGATGCCTGCATTGAAATTGGCTCTTCATGTCTTTCTTTAAGGGTTTGAAAGATGGAGCTTGCTGGGGTGATTAAAAACCATAGCAAGCGTGTCCTTACCTAGATACTGCTGTTCATCACTGATGCTTTTCACTGAGTGACAAAAGGAAAGGAAGGTGCTAATGTCTGCATTTAGACAAGAGAGGTTCAATTTAATGACAGGTACAGTGACACTGAAATCTTATCTGTACTCTAACACAGGGTTTCTTAACCTTATCAACTTTAACATGTGTGAACTTCAACTCCCCGACTTCCCAGGCAGCCCTGACGGCTGGGGCATTCTTGGAGTTGAAATCCCCCCCTCTTTAATATTGTGGGG